TTTATGTCCATATCGATCAGATCCAGCTAGTTCTAGCTAATGATAGGACTACCTGCTTATTAAAAGACACCTAAACAATAAGCGTCGCTATGCAACCGGGTGAGGCCGCAAAGTATAGCGCAGCATTATGCATTTGTTTACATGCCCACCGGAACCCAGAGGCATTACCAACAGATCAACGCACAATCAACCCATACAGGACATCTCTTTCTCCACATTACGTGTTAGACATTATAATTTACTATTCTTGTCTGTCACATACTCTTTTGTCTGTCACATAAATGGCGCAAGTTGCGCAACTGATGTGGTATTGCGCTAAACGGAAATTATTTTGAACGGACACTTTGACCGGAGAGATTTAGATTTGCCGGTCTTTAGCATATTTTACCGGTCGTAGTCCGGTAATTACCGGCTAACGGGAACTCTGGTGTAAGTACTGGCCATAGTTACTACTGTAACTATGGTTCTATGCTGTGTAAGTACTGGCCATAGTTACTACTGTAACTACGGTTCTAAGCCGTGTAAGTACTGGCCATAGTTACTACTGTAACTTCGGGTCTAAGCCGTGTAAATACTGGCCAGTTACTACGGTTCTATGCCGTGTAAGCACTGGCCATGGTTACTGCTATAACTACGGCTCTGTGCTGTTCTCTTCTTTAGAAGCTAGTTATCTGGTCTTAAACATTTGTGTTTGACTTGATCTCGCTTGATTGTTAGCAGCAGCCGCTTGGCTAACGTCTTGCGTGTACTGTTAAGCTTCATTATTAACTCAGCTGGTGAAGGCAGTGCTCTCGCTCCCGGTAACGTATTGTTTTGAGCGGGGGGGGCCCGCTCACCCCCGAGGAGGCTTCCCACTCCTCTGCTCAGAGCTCTTTGCAGGGCACGGAGGATGCTTTCATGGCGGCCATTATTCGTGCAGCCCTGGTACGCTTGCAGCTTCAGGTTCCGCAGGCCGACTCGGCTCAGGCTAGCGCCTTTTTCAGGCATAACCCTGCCCCTTTTCACTCCCACTGTTCCTCCTTCAGAGGAGTACCTGAGGGAGCTCCATGCATGCTGGAGAGACACCAGGGCCCTCTCCCACTCTGCTGCCAGGCAGGATCCGGCGAGGGTGGGGCTGGGTCGCTTGCCATCCATTGAGCCTGCCATTGAGATGCCAGGTGCCCTCGGCCTCAGTGCAGGGTCACAAACGAGCTGCTCTGTAGGGCCTACGACACAGCGGCACGGGAACTCCCTCTCCCATCTGATGCTGGCTTTCTCTACCTCTCTGCAGCAGGCTCTGGCTGAGCCTTCTTTGCTGGGCCTCAGTGATGCATCACTGTAAGCCGTTGCCCTAATGTCTAGGGAATGGGGACGAGTTATGTCCTTATTGGTGCAGACTCGTCGCCAGGTTTGGCCTACTCAGTCACCACTGTCGGAGACATGTCCTCCATTGTGAGCCAGTCGAGCCAGGGGAGCTGTTTGGGGCAGCTGCCCTGTAGGCACTGGAGCGTGCTGCCCAAGCTAGGCAGACCAGGCAGCAGCTCTCGGGTCTTTATAGGCCTGTGCCCACTCCCAGCAGGCCCAGGGGCCCCTCTAGCAGCCGCTCTCAGCCACCAGCTTACAGTGGTGGTCTGCACAGGTCCCAGCGCCCCACTCATCCACCTCCCAGGGGCTTTCGTGCCGCAGGCCTTCTAGGCGGCTTCGTGCCTCAGAGCCTTACCGGCGCCCCCCCCCGTCGGCTGCTTTCCCAGCAGCAGCTCAGTTACTGGGCTGTCTGTACTTCCGGCCAGAGGTTGCGCTAGACTTTTTCGCTGCCCGTCAAAACCCAGAATTACCCGTCGGCCTTTACACAACTCTGCTCTGGGGGGAAGAGAGAAGCATGCTCGTGAACTGTCAACGGGAGGGGGGGACAGTTGACATGCTGCACCTCGCGGGAGCGTGCAGCGTACAGCCAAAACTCACAGACATTTCAATGATTTGTACGGCACAGTTAGGTTTGGAAACGGTATAATTTCCTTTTTGGAGGGCATGCATAACACGGCATAACACCCATAAGCAGCCTCGCTGCGGGGAAACTTTGGCGCTGTTCCGAGTTTGTTCTAATCTGTCAAAATGACGGACTGCTTTCAGATTTGTCCGTCATTGTTACGAAAAATCCGTCATAGATGGAAAATATTTGGTTAACGCGACCTCTGCTTCCGGCCCTTGGGTGGTTTTTGACTTAACCCAGGGATACGAACCGCAGTTCCGGCCCCGAGCCTTCGGCCGGGTCAAAAAGACAGTCGTCAGCGATCCGGCAGATGCCCTAGCTCTGGCCCAAGAGTTGTCCGTCCTTCTGTCCAAGGACGCAATCGAGCCAGTAGACCCCTCTGCTTAGCCCAGGGGGTAATACTCGGCGTACTTTCTCGTGAGCAAGAAAGTCGGCGGATTTCGCCTGATCTTGGACCTCAGAGGAATCAACAGATTCCTGAAGGTGCTGCCACTCTATATGCTGACCACAGCACATGCACAGCCGTGGACTTGAGGGATGCCTACTTCCACGTGGGCCGGGCAACATGGTGCCTTATATTCAGTTCCTTCGGCCCTTGGGCAGGCTGCCTCGGCCATTGGGCCATTGGGCCCTTGGGCCCGCTGGCGTTGCGCCCCATACAGATGTGGCTGAACAGCCTTCACTTGGATGCCAAGTGGCACAGGCGCAGGAAAGTCAGGGTGTTGCAGCGTTGCCTCCACTCTCGGTCACACTGGAGGGGCCTATCTCCTGATGGGCATGCCCATGGGCGCCATCCCATCCCGCCAGGAGACCGTCACCATAGGTGCAGGTCTGTCAGGGTGGGGTGCAGTACGGCAGGGCAGGACCGTTCAGGGTCAGTGGTCTGCCCAGGAGGGTGCACGCCATGCCAACATGCTAGAGCTTTGGGCTGTGCAGCTTGCACTCACGCACTGTCTACCCCTACTGGGGGGCAAGAATGTGCGTGTTTCTTGGGACAGCATGTACGCTGTTGCCCAGACAGCAGTCCCTTCTAGACAGTGGGCGTTCTCACTCCACTCTGAATTTATGTGGCTGCTATTTCTGCCTGACATATTCGGGTCGACGGTGCCACGGCGGGGTGCCACAGGTCGGTATCCCTCTTCCTGAGAGGGGCTTTACGGCAGCATCCCCCCAGCACCCCGAGGGCTCCGGCTTGGGACCTGCCCCTGCTGCCGGATGCCCTATCATCTCCTCCGTTCGAGCCCCTGGCCCAGGTGGAGCTTAAGTGGCTGTCCTTAAAGGCAGCATTTCTGCTTTCCATGACCTCAGGGAAACGAGTTGGAGAGCTACATGCCCTCTCCGTGAGCGATACATGCCTGAGGTGGAACTCCGATGGCTCGGGTGTTGCTCTCTGGCCGAACGTGGCGTTCCTGCCCAAGGTGCTTCCACTAGCCCACTCCAATCGGCCTATCCAGCTGGCGCGCTTTAACGTCCCACAGGAGAACGGCACGCCTGAGTTGCTGTGTCCTGTGCATGCCCTAGAGGCGTATATTGGTGCTATGGCCCATATACGACAGTCAGAGCAGCTCTTCATTTGCCATGGCGGCACGAGAAGGGACTGTGCTCTCTCCAAGCAGCGGCTGTCCCACTGGGTTGTGGATACAATCTCACATGCCTATGGGGCCAGTGGCCGCCCCCCGCCATCAGGGGTGGGATGTCACTCTACAAGGAGCATCTCAACGTCTTGGGCTGCCCTGAGAGGGGTGTCCCTGGAGACCATCTGCGCTGCGGCGTCGTGGGCATCGTCTGGCACATTCTCCAGGTCAATGTCGCCACTCCCCATCCTTTGGGCGTGGTCCTGTTGCCGAGCTCCGCTGCTTCCAGCTAGGTAAGCAAGTGTTCGGATTCTTCATGACATGGTTGGTATAGTCATCCAGTGATAAAAGCACCGCCTCTGGCCAGAGTTTCCGGTCACTCAGAATTCTTGTGTGCTCGCGAGAAGATTCTGGGAACCGATCCACTAATGACGCCGGCCTATGTAGCCGTAGTCACGTGGGTCACAGGTGACTTTGTTGATATTAGGTACTCGAACTGCGCATGCGTGCGATGGACATATCCAATGCTAAAAGCACCCCCCCTAGCGGTCATCCGGGACTCATGGAACCGTAGTTACAGCCGTAACTATCGTTTTCAGTTTTCCGTTTTCAGAGCGTAACGTAGCTTTCGGTTTGGGCAAACTGCGTGCGCATCACTCTCACTCCTCAATGGTAACGTGTAGGTGGATTTAGGAACTTCCCCTCGATTATATTGGCTCTAACGGTTCAAAAGAGGTGTCAATCACGAAAATCGACCAATGGGTTCCAGAGATATGGCAAATACACCCAAATGACCCCAGAGGTGGGTTTTTCTTTCTAAACCTCTCTAAAAAGGTCAAATTTCACTTGTTTTGCATCAATCTTGATACAGGGTACTTATCATATGTTATAGTTTGGATTCCTAAAGCTTTTAGTCTACTATCCCATCATTCAAGGTTGGTTTTCACTATAAATAATGGGTTTTTTTTGGACGGAAACTATAATTTACATTTGTTTACTATATTCAATCTGAATTTACTTTAAAATAAAAATGTCAAGCTTGCAAAAAAAACACAATGTTACTGTACTGGAACATATAATTAGCTACAATATCTCACTAAGACAAACAAAAATGGGAACAATGTTCTCAGTCTGAACATTAAGTGTAGAGATGGAGCCACAGCTATTTAATTGAAATAATGAACTTCTAGTGACATTTTCTATTTGTTTTGTGGTGCTAATTTCAAGGACAATTAACTTGAAGGCTGAAGATTTGTTGATTGTTTTTTTTTACTACAATCACTCAAAAAAGCACAATACTAAACAGTTTCATTGCTAGCATAAATCCTATGATTAATCAAATCTACACTGGACATCTTGGTTTCAGAGCAACCATGACTAAAATAGGGAGCAATGTAAACTTGATTTGGATATTTCATCATTAATTTTATAATAATGACTATATTTAAGATATTTACCTCTCCAACCATGCCGTTCCACTCCCCATCTATGTTCTTCCCATGCCTCCCATTGGTCACCAGGTAGAGGTCATAGGTGAAACCCACTATTTTGGCCAGTCGCTTGAGGACGTCGATGCAGAACCCTTTGCAGCAGTGCTTCATGGGCCCGGCGCCATCCACCACCAAGCTGAGGAGATAATTGGAGAAAAGACAGATAAGTGAGATAGTGAACTTGCATTTTTTTAAGACATAGAGATATTTTATCAGGGGCGCTTTGACCTAGATGGGCTGATTGGCTGTTGCAGAAATTGACAAAGAAGGAGATGCCACTTCAGAGGCAGAGGGAGAACAGGAGAGTGAGGAAGGTATGAATTATTGGCTGAAGACTGAGTGGATTGATTCCGAGAGTTTTGGCTTTCGTGTTTGGAGAGGCAATGCTTGACAGGTCAGAAAGCTCACAAGTAACAGGGAAAATAAACAAATTAAACTGCATTTTTGTTCTTGGAAGCCATATTAAAAAAAAAATGTTTACAATGGCCTTTGAAAGCCTCTTTCCTGTGCGACTTGATGTAATGAACCCTTCACCCTAAACGCATTGCAAGCAGATCACATATACTTGAATCCGAGTGCATTTAGATAACTATCAGTCAGGGGTGAACTGTTAGCGCCCCACTGCACCTCGCGGGAGCGTGCACAGCGTAAAGCAAGTACTCACAGACATTTCAATGATCTGTTCGGCAAAGTTAGGTTTGGAAACTATATCATTTCCTTTTGGGAGGGCATGCATAATAACACGGCATAACACCGGAGCCCCGCTGCAGGGAAACTTTGGCGCTGTTCTGAGTTTGTTCTAATCTGTCAAAATGACGGACGGCTGTCAGATTTTTCTGTCATTGTTAAAATAAAAACGTCATAGACGGAAAATATTCGGTTAAAGCGACCTCTGCTCCCAATGGACCCCCAGACACTCATGGCAGCTATGGCCCTGTTACCAAGCAACACAACTTGCGCAATTCTATTTGTATCATAAATACAAACCACGTCGAACATTTCACTCCTCTGTATTTTTACTGCAAATAAAGTTGTGTAATTTAAAAGTTATTTCATTATACAAATACATTAAATCATTGATATGATATTTTTTCTTAGATAGTGTTCACCACAAAAATGTATGAAAGTAAGAAACTAGGTTGTGATCACGTTTAGGTAAATCCTAATTTCCCATTGAATAAACAATTCAATAACACCCAATAACATTGGGTTTTAGTCTACAGTGGGAAAGTTAGTTAGTGAAATACTTGATTCTGATTGGTCAATTTGGATATTTCGGAGGTTATTAATACTCACTAACAAGACGCTGCTAAGGATAACATGACCGTTGCTAAGGAGGATATACAGAAATAAGTCTGGTCGATTTAATGTCGGCTATGGACCACATGGATGAGTGGTTTACTCATCCATCAGAAAAACACCATGGAATACTTTTTGAATATTCACTTTCAGGAAAGTTTGGATTCATGATGGCTAAACTGTCTCCAGTAATGAAAAGAAAACCAGTGGAAGAGAAGGAAAGAGGTTAAAAGACAGACAGGAAGTAAACACTGAAGGGAACACGGTATGAGTTCTGGCGTTGCTTAAAGACGTGTTAATAGGCGTTTTCACACCGGAGTACTTTTTCCATACTTTTCCCAGAAATAGTTCCGATAGTTCCTGGGATGTTGCGTTCACACCAAAAAGATCTTTTTTTTCGGGAACCTTTTCACCCCTTTTTAGTCCCTGCTAGAGAGCAGGGACTTTCCTGCGGAGAAAAAGGTTCCAATTTCTGATTGGCTGGGCGAATTGCTAACCACGCCCCGTAAAACTCTGAAAAATGTTTGTGAAGCCGCCATTTTATTTCCTCGCATTAGCCCAGCGCACCAACGGAGAGAGACTAACTTATGGCAACACAAAATAAAACGTGGGATCGGTGGACTGATGAGGAGGTGTCGGCGCTTCTGGCGATTTACCCGGGGCTTTGGGTGGCGATTTACTGCCACCCAAAGTCCCGGACTCCAGGGGGCTCCGGGACTTCGGGTGGCAGTATACGCTGTGAAGTTGTTTGCGGCCTGCCAGTAAACACAAAGCAGAAGAAGAATAAGTGATGTCAGCGGCTTCATTTGCGTAATCCTTCCTCGCATAGAGTATGTTTACCAGAGATTTATCATCCAAAAGGATTAGCTGAAAAATGCTAAAACAAATACTGCTTACAATTGGGTAAATTCTCTGTAGGAAAAAACCCGCCTGGAGTGTTATTTCTAATCAATGCTGGTCATGATAATGTCCTTTGATAGAGTTGCAGGGTTGGATTTTATTTTTTTTAATGGCTTGCCCTTATTCTGAATAAAATGCAGTTACATTTTCATAACTCAATTGTGTCCCCGTAAGTCATATGCATGTTTCATTTGATGCATTGAACAAATACATCGATATGATAGGAGAAAATAAAAGAATAACACATTTTAGATATGCAGCCGATCAGAGAAAAAAGTAAGCTACACATTACATTTAATAGTACCTCAGTTAATATATATATATATAATATATATAAGAAAAAAGTAGGTGAGGTAGAAATGTTTCAAGAAAGAAAACTGTGTCAAAGTAGGTTGATTAACAAGAGAGCAAACTTAATTTCTAGTCAATAAGACTGATGGAGGATGAACTTGTTATCTTTCCATTGGCCAAGCTATGTGCTGGCAGGAAGAAAGCTTATCTGGGATAGACCAGGAGCCCAGAGCGGGCACACACACAGAAACACACCATACATGCTCACTCGCTCTATGTTCATCTTATCCCTTTGATTTACTTTTGTTGCAAATGACCTTATACACATACGAAACAAGAGGAACACTGATTGTGAAGTAGTCTTAATATAACTGATACTTTAAATGTATATATGCCACATGATATAAGAACATCAAATAAGTAATCAGCATCATATTGTTGGAACTCATCAGCGTCATGCGTTGGAAGGGATACAGGAGGGATCTCTTGTTCCATGAGTCTAAGTGTCTCGATTGATTAAAAGACAATTAACCTTACTTTGCTGTGGTTTATATTACTGTTTTTTAATGAAGAGTTTTGCCAATACTGGGCTCTTAATTGCATGCTTTACGGCGGTGTACCATATGACTTTTAACGTGTCAGTAACCGCTGTGATGAAATTTGCTTTCCTCCCTGGGATAATTACGTTTTTGATGTTTGAATCTATTGATCCTAAAAACCTCTTAATTTAAGCCTATTCCTCTCTGCTCACCAGCAGTACCTGGAGATGGTAAAGATTGACTGTCCTGCATGGACGCTTGGAGAGACAGTTCAATTACACAAGGGATCAGAGCCGGAAACATCTTGTTTCAGTTCGCTCTCTATCCGGCACTTTAACAGTAACACTATTTGTTACTTTCTAGTAAGATTTTTTGGCTGATAAGGGTTTAAAAAGAGAAATCCTCAAGAGTCGAAAATATGTCATCTATATTATTATTATTTTCACTGCCCATGCCTATAATAAACTGCGGTTCATCCTGACCTGCACAGTCTTTGCAATGTTAATTATTTCACATGTTTTGCTTTTATTTAATACTGAATCATTTGAAAGCTTTCATCCACTCTCAAGTTAATTAGTTGTGGTCATTTTGATTTGATCTGTATAATGGATAATGGTTGAAAACTATTGATGAAAGCACTGTATTTATAGCATCAGCAATGTCCCCTGCTATGGAGAACACCCTCTTGCTAGGGACAGAGGTAGCATACAAGTCAGTCAATGCTTTCCAAAAGCACGAGCAGTGAACTCCAGGCCCACGTGACTGAACTAAAAATTGAAAGAAACAGACTAAGAAATGACGTAAGCTCCATGATCAAAACTGCCAAAAAGAATTTCATCAATGTCAAAACTGAGGAAAACTAAAATAAACCCTGTGAACTTTGGAAATTACTCAATAACCTGCTTGGCTGCAGTAAAAAACTCAAAACGAGATTTTCTAACTTAAACATAAAGACAGATAACAGGCTCATCACAGACAAACTGGATGTGGCCAAGTACTTGACGTTTTTTTTCACAAACATAGCCACAACTCTTGTAAATAAATTACCCTCCCACTCAGGGCTTTTTGGAGTAGATCACATCATGACCTACTACAAAAACCTAGGGGTACGCAAAGATGATTTCAGTCTAGCAAGGGTAACAACAGCAGAGGTACTCATTAAACTGAGCGCCCTCCAACCTAACAAGGCCACTGGCCACGACAATATCCCCTCCAAATTCCTCAGAGACACAGCAACTGCCATCTCACCAGTCATAGCTCACATAATTAACCTCTCCATAAAACAGGGACACGTACCCAAAGACTTCAAAATTGCAAGAGTAACCCCCCTGCACAAAAAGGGCAGCAAATTGGACCCAGGCAACTACCGCCCTGTTTCTATACTTACCTCCATCTCGAAAGTCATGGAAAAAATAGTATATGAACAGGTCGAAAAGTACCTCGCGGAAAAGAAACTAATCTATGAATTTCAATCTGGCTTTAGAACATCCCACTCCACTGACACATGCCTTCATTATTTGAGCGACCACATCAAACAAGAGGTGGACGAGGGCAAGTACTGCGGCATGGTGATGCTGGACCTACAAAAGGCTTTCGACACTGTCAATCACCCCATTCTGATTGACAAGCTAAAAGCAATTGGTTTTGATAAACTATCGGTGAGCTGGATGCAATCCTACCTGGAGGGGAGAGAACAGATGGTGGAGGTAAACGGTACTCTGTCCCCCCCCCCTCCCAGTGAGCTGTGGTGTTCCACAAGGAAGCATATTAGGTCCGTTACTGTTCCTAATTTATGTAAATGACATGTCATCAGCATGTGACTGCAACTTGTTCCTGTTCGCGGACGACTCAGCCCTGCTGGTCTCTGACAGGAACAGGTTGCAGGTTGAAAAAACCCTCAGCTCCGAGCTCGGCAGAATCTGCAACTGGCTCGCCGATAATAAATTATCATTACACCTGGGTAAAACAGAGTTCATTCTCTTCGGTTCGAAACATAATCTCAGCAAATCCGACGACTTCTCAGTTGCAGTGGGCGACATTATTGTCACAAGTAAGAAGGAAATTACATACCTAGGATCTATTCTTGAGGCAAACCTCTCCTGTGACAAAATGGCATCCAATGTAATAAAAAAGTCAATCAAAGAACTAGATTCCTATACCGGATCTCCTCTCTGGTAAACAAAAACACCCTGAAAACTCTGGCAGGAGCACTCATTCAAGGGTACTATGACTATGCTTGCACGTCATGGTACCATAGCACCTCCAAGGCGCTAAAAATAAAACTTCAAACATCGCAAAATAAACTGGTCAGACTACTGCTTGACCTTTCATCTAGAACCCACCTCACCTCTGCCCTCTTTGACAACCTAGGATGGCTTAGAGTAGACGACAGAGTACACCTACTTGCAATGGGCCTGGTCTACAAGATCCACTACACCTCTATGGTACCCATGTACATGTCAAAATTATTCCCAAAGGTCAAGGAATACCATGATCATAACACCAGAGGGAGCTCCACAAATCATGTGAAACCCAGATTTGGCACAAAAAAGGGGGAATACACGTTTCGCAGTTATGCCACATCAAGGTGGAACGCTCTTCCCACAACTGTAAAGGAAAGTAAAACTATACTTACCTTCAAAACCTCTCTTAAAGAGCACCTTCGGGGGAGAGCATTGCAAAACTGGCCCCGGTAATGGTACAAATCTCAACCTGTCGTACAATGGACAGCTTCCCCCCCCCATCTATGTATATACTCACATTTTAGACTCTGTTACTAACTGTATATCTGTAGACTTGGTATGTCTTAAATGTCCGGTTAGGATATATTAGAACGAAATCTAAAATGAAAATTGTAAATAAGCAATCTGTATGTAAAAAACCACCTGTATGTAAATTGTAAATAAGCCATCTGTATGTCAAATATGTCTTATATGTCTTAAATGATATGATGAGTTGGAAATGGGGGACCCTGATGTAAACAAGACGAAAGTCTTTCTCTGGTCTGCATCCCCTTAACAATTGTATGTTTTGAGCTGTACTGTACTGTACCCAATATACAAGCTGTTAATAAACTTTTCAATCAATCAATCAATCAGATACAGCCAGGTAGTGCTTTGCTAACATGGCAACATAAGGATATTTGGCGTTTGTAATAGCTTTGACTCGGTCTGAACTATTTGCGAGTGGTGGAGGCTTAAATGCTAGTGGGAGTTGGGTTTGCACTTCAGTCTTTTTTCTTTTGGTACTGGTGATATTCACGTTCGGGTGATGCCTTTTCAAATGAGTGTGCAAGTTTGATGTATTGCCGGCCTCGTAACCAATTCTAGTTGAACAATGCCGACAAACAGCTTTGGTTCGGTCCACCTGTCTTTGTCCGTCATCCTTGTACGTAACTGCGAAACCAAAATGTTCCCAAACCGGAGACTTCAATGATGCTGGAGGATTTTCGAGCTCAACTTTATCTGCGTTCGCCATTTCGACAGTTCCTCAAATTACTGACTACATTTGAACGCATCCCTGTGACCAGCTCTCATAGTATGCCTCTTGTCCAATGAAATGACTTGGTCGCTCTATGACGAGTTGAACCCAATGTGAGAGAATTACACTGAACGCTGCGACGCAGCACCTGAGATTACTTCCAAAAACTTGTTCACGTTCTCAATTTTTTACGTTTAACGTTATATTCGTTCGGTACACTTCGGTACACACGTGTACCGAACCGAAGGGCCCATACCGAATAATTTCGGTACGAATACGTATACCGTTACACCCCTAGTGCTCAGGATGAGTTTCGCTGTGTCTCGCTGTATCGCCGACCCGGAAAACCACACCGCCAGCGAACTCACACTGCAGCAGCGAGCCTCGCAATGTCCCGACCAATCAGAGCACACTGGGCTCACAGGGAGGGGGGTTCAGGAGCTCCAACAAGCCGTTTAGGACAGAGAGTGAAATTCAGTGAATACACATACAGAGATGCTGTATGAGACACCAATGTGATTTTGGAAAATTGCACAATTTAAATCTATTATAGTATTCTATAGAATTATGATCAGTAGAAATGGTCATGACATGGGACCTTTAAAACTACCATATTACACCTGAGTGAGGGTATGTTTCTGTATTATATTATTATATTATATACAGGTATCTGCTTTATACCTACAAATGATTTAGTTATTTTATTTGTAAAACGTTTAGCTTATTCACTTAATTCAAATGTACAGAACAACCATTGAGAACTTAATCTTGCAGACTTTGTATACAATGAAAAGCCCTGACCAACAGCCCTGACCAATTTGCTGCCCTGGACAATATTTTAGCTGGCGCTTCACCCCCCCCCCCCCCCCCCCCCCCAAAAAATGCAGACACTCACTATGACTCGCGCATGCATGCACGTGCACAGTTGTGGCATGACCACCAAAACAGAAAGATATGGACACAAGACGTGTGCAACTGTATTTATATCCTATCCATTTGAACAATTAAGTGGGGGGGTGGACCTAACCTCCTCAAGGGGGGCTTGCTCCCCCGGGAATATTATTTTTGTTTAATGTTGAAGTTAAAAGCATTAATCTGGTGCACTTTGAGAGCAACATGAAGAGGTCTATGGATACATCTCTCAACACCCAAATGAAACAGAACTGAAAGCAGATTTTATTTTTATTTTTACAAATCACTCCCCTTTCAAACTGTATTCTTGTTTATTAATAACAACTTTTTTGTACTGTCATATAGTATTTTATACCTGTTTTTCATCTATTCTCTTATTTTTTATAACTATAATGATCATATAAAGGTGTGCCTTTACCTCACTGAGCTGAGGTTATCAGAGCCGCTCAGTCTTTCAGGAGAGAGCTCTCTAAAGCTCTCCCCCCCCCCCGCGGCTGCTTACACAGTAAATGCCAATGTTAATAAAAGCACACAGAAGCTGTATACGTTTTTTGGGAGTTTGATTTATTTTAAATTAACACAAATACAAAATTAAAACCTATAATTGCACACTCAAACCATTATTTTAAAAAAAGAACTATTTCACATAAACCTGATTGGGGGGGGTGCGCCATAGTTTATGGGTGCTGTACGCAATATAGGCGTAGTTCTGTTAGTATAAAATAATAAGATGTACTTTGTTGATCCAAAATCGGGAAATTGTTTTGTCAAAAGTATTTCTAATTATTATTAATTTTTTTCAATTGTTGGCGCCCCCGATGGGTTGACGCCCTTTGCATTCACCTATACTGCCTATGCCAGGGGCCGGCCCTGGTAAGGACATTGTACTGTTCTGCAAAACCACATATGTTAAATGCCTATGTTTCAAAAAAATGACATGCACACAACAATTCAGCAGTTACATACTGTAGCTTTCTATTCAATAGGATATGTTTCACTCTTAACTTGATAGCATCACGGTGTATTTAAATGCTGTGTTTCATTACCTGGCATTGACAGGCATTCGACAGGGTACAGAGTCTCGGATGCAGGAGCTGGTGCCAGGGTCAGCCGGCTCCACGATGACAAATGGCCTCTCCTCCAGGGTAACCACTCGGAGGTGCTGGGAGTCGTCCAGAGGCTTCAGGAAGGAGCCGTAACGAGACCAGGGATGGTAACGCAGACGCAGGTGCCCATTTTCCCACCAGCCAACCTACAGTAGTTAGAAAGAAACACACAAACACAGATGCTCAGGGCTTTGTTTATTTTATTATCTTTTCTTTTTAATGACTGATTTTAAATGCCATTTTCTTAATGTCTTTCGTTTTTTGTAAAGCACTTTGAATTGCCTTGTGTTGAAAGGTGCTATATAAATAAACTTGCCTTGCCTGCCTGCCTTGCCTTTGGAAAACCATGGCTTGAGAACAGACTGCTTTGATACATTTCACGTCTGATCAGCTTTGTGTTTAGCACACATTTGCTAATTTGCAGGTGAAAACATTTCACTGTCACTAGGTTATAATTGGGCTCAGTGTGGTTAAAAATGTATAACCTAAGCTTCAACTCAATTTGAAGAAAAACATTATGTATTTATTAGTTAATTATTTCTTAAGACCTGCAACATGATTAATTGATTTTCACAGAAATGCCCTTGTATCTAACATTTGAACCCAACCTGGATTTATGCAAAAAAGCACCAGCTTGACTTTGGTTAGCGCTTTTGCTAGGCCATAAAAGTGCAAATAAACCGTCATCCTATACTTCACAACACCAACATCTGCTAAGAGCCACTATGGTTAATCTCTGTGGTATTTATTTCACAAAATCTTCCATCTGACCTTGCCAGTATATTACCAGTGACAGGAATGAGGATGTGTGTGTTTAAGAGGATGCAAGGTTTATACATACTGTTAGGTTACATATACCTGGAGGGCCAAACACCGCCCTTTATATGAATAGGTTTCTATCTGTGTGCCAGTCTGAACGTTGCCCTAAAACCAAAGCATTCATCAAACCTGGGGCATACACATACCAATGGATCTTAATTGTATTCAGTCTCATGCGTTTCTACGGTAAATATGTGCATAGATTAACTTTAAAACCCACAAGCACTTTCTGAATGGGCACTGGACTTATACAAATGTATAACTAAATGTAAGTTCATTCTGTAGCCTTGCTTTTATTTCTTTGTTTGGGATTTACTGTATATTCAGTCTATCTATTATATCTATCTATCTATCTATCTATCTATCTATCTATCTATATATCTATCTATCTATCTATCTATCTTTTCACTAAGCTCCAAGGGACCATTGACAGACCATGACAGGGGCCTGACAACTGTGATCACAACTTGGTAAAGTGTGTTATGGGAGATCCCTCAGCCTATCCATCTATTTACCCCCTTGAAGCAACAAGGCCTCCAACTCATATGACCAAATAGGTTGATTGTTCAAGCCCTTATTACGATCAAATAGGTTGATTGTCAAAGCGCTTATTACGATGTATAATCACGTTTTAAAGTTTTCGACCTCTAGTGCTCCTGTTGACTGCAAACGCTCCGGTGGGTCGTATATTCAGAAATAACCCTCTCTGGAAAATACTACATTTTAGGATAGTTTGGCCATTAAAATGCTTTTTGATTCGATTTCTAGCGATAAGTGTATATTGTACTTTTAGAGCAGCGTCCATGTAAAGTTAGCGTCAACCCTCACGGGGTGAAAACATTATTTCCGGTCTCGAAGTTTTCATAATAAAACCGTATTCCCCTCACTGTCAAATTATTTTAAAGCTATATCTGCAGTACTCATCTAATAAAAAACATTAGATTATCCTTGTTAATTACATGACATTAATTGGTTTAAATTGTGTACACTGCTTTTGTGTTTTTCCCATAGGTTTTTCCATTTCGATTCTGAGAGACACATTTCTTTTTTCAGAGGTTTTGATAGGCTAAAACATCGAACTACCCATAATCTTCAGCTATCGTTGAAGCTCGGTGATTGGATGTTTTAGCCGCAATGCACGTTGGGATATGGTGTTTATGCAATGTGAAATCCGAATACATTTTTAAAAAATAAGACTTTATTCCGAGTGTGCTTGCTTTTTTCTTTGAAAGTCATCACATAACGGCATTGTAATACATGGTTCGGCTGCATTAAATATTACACATCTGCCGTAGTTCTCTATTTATAGAGCCCTGATTAGAAGACCTTTGGACAAACTGGAAGAAATGCCGCCGAAACTGAATACGTGACGTGGAACATAAATATATCAGCAATTAAACAACATCTTCAATTTCTCTTCACACAATACGTCTCCTTGCAGTATCAACACTAACTCGGCTGACTTTTATATTTGATCCAATTGGTAAATAGGCTGTATTTACACCATAACGGTGCATAGCTGATAGAAAATAACTTGTCATTTTTAAAGATATTACTGATTTTCAACTGAGTTGAGAGAATAGTTAGGGGTTTTGGGTGATGGGAGACACACCTATGGAATCAGAATTTCAATAGCTTGCCATTAAATGACGGATATACCTTTCTGTCTATGATGTTTTACAAATCAGATATTAATGTGTATAACTCAATATGTGAAATAGAAATATTATAGCAATATCCTTTAAAATTATGTGAAATCATGAATAAAACTACACATCTTAAGATGTTATACATACATAAGTGTCATACACTAATAATACAAAGTTATTATGGCATTGTATGCTGTGTGTTATTTGCAACATCTTCAGAAACTACCTTTCCAACTCCTCATGCAGTTGACTGTTACAGGTCTATACAGGCTCATGGTACAATGCATAAGCTTCAAATCGAGAGACTGAAACTGTAATTTCCTTTACCGTTCTGTTTTAATTTCACAATAAAGTTAATAGTAATATTATATTTGATAATATTATGTTTTATTAACTAGACCACTGGGTCATGTTTGGTGTTACAAATATCAAAACAATATGTGTGGATAACAAAATAAATCAGTCATAAACTAAACTGGAAATTATACTGGAAAGTATCATTTATTGTGTTAACACTGTAAACTTGACAGTTTTTTTTAACCCGAACCACCTCGTGGTTAAAGCACATTATTTAATTTTTTTGTGGAATATGTTATATTTGATGAAAAATTTAAATATTAAGAGTAGCCTACATACAAAATAGGAGGAAAGTAGAAGGTCAATGATAGAAATATAGAATAGAAAATATCAAGAAGATACTGTAGTGATCTCTACAATAAAACATCTAGTGGAGGACGTCCAAAGATATTAATAGGAGGATGTGTAAAACAGACAAACTAATAAGGCTTTATTCAAACATTAAAGAATACTTTAAGTTAAGGTCTTCTTTTGAATAAGAAAACAACTTTGGGTATCTATAGATAAATATTAAGACAAAGTACTTAACGTCTAATATATTGCATAGTTTATTTTGGTACTTGACAATCACCTTCCCTGAATTTGACTCAGGTGTAACTAAAGTCTGATTTAAGGGTTGTTTATGTTTCACATCATTAATCAGAATCTGCAAAGTAACTAAAATAAATGTAGTGGAGTAAAAATACCAGGTTAACCTCTGAATTGTAGTGGAGTAGAACAAAGTAGTATGCTGCTGTAACAAAAACATTTCCCAACTTGGGATCAATAAAGTATATCTTATCTTATCTTAAGATGATCGATGGCTTCTGCCATATTTGCAAAATGTGCCTCTGAACCTTGACAAGTGCATGTTTCAAGGCTTATCAATGAACAACAGGAGGGGTCACAGACATAAGACCAGCTGTTAAATAAAGCTCTTCTGACCTTACCTGTCATGTGGGTATATTAATGCCGCCCATTATGGACACAAGCGATTTTCACCCAGTTATGAATTATATGTATTAAATTTGATAACACCACTGTGTTTCATATCCCCTAAAACTCCGCGGATGTACACAGTTTAATACTGGCAACATCTAATTATGGGAAATACGAAAACGTCTTTTAAAACTACAATTCCCAGTAGAGACGTGCCATAGAACATGTTGCGAAACACAATAGCCAGCATATGTAGTTCGGGGGGGGCGGCTGGGCTGGATAGTTTTGGATAGTGTGCCATTCCATTTCAAAGAGCTCGGCGTAACCTTGGCGCACTGCCACTCCAACATCTAATCACAGAGCTTGAGGATTAATCACAGGGTTTGTCAAGCAAAGCGGATGTTGTAGTCCCAAACGATAGCTGAGGATTATGGGTAGTGTAGTGTCTTCGGCCATCCTAAACTCCGAAAAAACTAATTGTTTCTCCGAATAGAATGTTAAAAACAGAAAAGCATTGTACACAATTTAAACCAATCAATTAATGTAATTAATGTAATAATGTAATTAACAAGGATAAACTGATGTTTTTTAGTGGATGAGTAATGCAGATATCACTGTGTAATAATTTGACAGTGAGGGGAATACTTCCGGTTTTATTATGAAAACTTCGAGACAGGAAATACTGTTTTCACCCCGTGAGGGTTGACGCCAACTTTACATGGACGCTGCGGAAAGACCTAGTACACACGTTCTCCTGGCGAGACCTCAAATAATCTTCGTAATATCTATCAAACTGTAGATCCTACACATCCACTGGATGTAGATTTTAAAAGTACAATATACACTTCTTGCTAGAAATCTAATCAAAAAGCATTTTAATGGCCAAACTATTCCACAATTTAGGATTTTCCAGAGAGGGTTATTTGTGAATAAACGACCCTCCGGAGTGTTTGCAATCAACGGGAGCATGTTGTTTCTTACACGACCACTAGAGGTGCTACACTTTAAAACGTGACTATGGGTCGTAATAAGCGGCTGAAAAATCGACCTATTCGTTTTTTGTAGGAGGACAGGTGAAGATGATAAAGTTTGTTTTATTCCTCTTTTCCTGCACAGCTGTGGGTCATTGGGTTGTTGAATGCAGCAGTGCAGTGTGTCTTTGCATTGGTTGTGTTGCCTAATGACAGTCTATTCATGTTAACTAAGCGAGCTGTATTGAGACCAAAGAGACAGTTTACAATGTCACAGTGAAACTATATGTGTAAACAAATCTGTTTGCATCAACCAAGGATGTTACTGGATGGATTTGCAGGAATAACACAGCAAATCTGGCCTTTATTATTTGGTCCTTTTAAAGTTGTGCTGTCATATATTTAGATGGCATTTGCATACAGACAATCTTC